CCACCGATGGTGCAGTAGGCAATTTCTGTGATCTTTAAATAAAACTGGCTCCTCAATTGAAGCTAGTCTGTCACGAAAAGGACATTTGTCATTCGGTGATTAATTCAAACTGATACAGGTTGTCCAAAAGTGCCAGACGCATTTTCTCTTATTGCCAGCTGTTTTTCAATATGGTGATTTTCTAAGCGCAGCTGAGATATGACACAAGGCTGAAATTATGGAGCACCCAGTTACGATCAAACTCACTACTGATAATTGATGTCATCAGACAAGTTTCCTAACCATCACAACACGTCAAGGTGCCCTAAAAACTAAAAAATATGATCTTGCAACACTGTTAATCTGTCATTGCATTTTACACAAAAATAAACTTTTATTATTTTTATTTTATTCCTTTTTATTCCCTTTTTAAAAATTAAGGATTACTACCTATGTTTTTTTTTTCAAAATTTATGGCAGTAACCTTTGAATGCTTCAAAGATTATCAAAGGTATGCGATTATCCAAAGGACGCAAATGTCCAGCGACGCAATTTTATGGTACCCATTTGTCTGGGAGGAAAATGTCCCGTACGCAACTGTCCTAGAATGATATTGTCTTTTAATATTATTTAGTAACTATATCGCACTTCTCGTTTGTGGAAATCTCTTCGAGCTTCGATCTCCAAAATTTAAATGCAACGTCAATGGCTGTCGTGCGTCTTCTTTATACTTGTTCCTTTATTGTTCTCTCTCCTTAATTCTGTTTTCTTTTACTCATATTGTTAATTTCATCTTGAAATATTTAAATGCAGTGTCAATCATTTTCTCAATTTGATCTTCTAAAATTTAAAAACAATGTCAATCGTTATCTTCTGTCTTCTTAATTCTTGTTCTTTTATTGTCCTCTCTCCTTAATAGTGTTTTTTTTTTTCTTCATATTTCTCAATTTGATCTTCTAGAATTTAAATGCAATGTCAATCGTTATCTTCTGTCTTCTTAATTCTTGTTTTTTTTTCTCATTTTTGATTTTTCTTGTCCTGAAAAAAGCAATCGTTATGTTTTTTTTTTTTGTTCTTTTTCATATTCTCAATTTGATCTTCTAATTTGACCTTTTTTTTAAATGCAATCAATCAATGTAATTCGTTATCTTTTTTGTCTTCTTAATTCTTGTTCTTTTTACTGTCCTCTCAAATTGGAATGCAATGTCAATTAATAGTTTTTTTTTCTGTTTTTCATATTCTAAATTTGATTTTTTTTCTATTCTCAATTTAAATGCAAATGTCAATCGTTATCTTCTGTCTTCTTAATTCTTGTTCTTTTATTGTCCTCTCTCCTTAATAGTGTTTTCTAGAATTTTTCTCATATTCTTCAATTTGACCTCTCCCTTATTAGTGAAGTTTAAATGCAATGTCAATCGTTATCTTCTGTCTTATCTTTTTCTTTTTTTTTTTTTTATTGTCCTCTCTCCTTAATAGTGTTTTCTTTTTCTCATATTCTCAATTTGATCTTCTAAAATTTAAATGCAATGTCAATCGTTATCTTCTGTCTTCTTAATTCTTGTTCTTTTATTGTCCTCTCTCCTTAATAGTGTTTTCTTTTTCTCATATTCTCAATTTGATCTTCTAAAATTTAAATGCAATGTCAATCGTTATCTTCTGTCTTCTTAATTCTTGTTCTTTTATTGTCCTCTCTCCTTAATAGTGTTTTTTTTTATTTCATCAAATATTTTCAATTTGACCTTCAAAATGTTTAAATGCAATGTCAATCGTTATCTTCTGTCTTCTTAATTCTTGTTTTTTTTATTGTCCTCTCTCCTTAATAGTTTTTTTTTTTATATTCTCAATTTGAAACAGTTCTAGAATTTAAATGCAATGTCAATCGTTATCTTCTGTCTTCTTAATTTTTGTTCTTTTATTGTCCTCTCTCCTTATTAGTGTTTTCTTTTTCTCATTTTCTCAATTTGATCTTCAATAATTTAAATACAATGTCAATCGTTATCTTCTGTCTTCTTAATTCTTATTCTTTTATTGTCCTCTTCTCCTTAATTTAGTGTTTTTCTTTTTCTTTTTTTGTTTTTTTTAATTTGATCTTCTTTTTCAATTTTAATTTGATCTTCTAAAATTTAAATGCAATGTCAATCGTTATCTTCTGTCTTCTTAATTCTTGTTCTTTTATTGTCCTCTCTCCTTAATAGTGATTTCTTTTTCTCATTTTCTCAATTTGATCTTCAAATATTTAAATGCAATGTCAATCGTAATCTTCTGTCTTCTTAATTCTTGTTCTTTTATTGTCCTCTCTCATTAATAGTCTTTTCTTTTTCTCATATTCTCAATTTGATCTTCTAAAATTGAAATGCAATGTCAATCGTTATCTTCTGTCTTCTTAATTATTTTTATGCCCACTCACAAAAAAATTATCAGAAGTACGCAATTATCCAGGGACAGAAATGTCCATGGACGGAAATGCTCAGGGATGTAGTTGTGTGGTACGCATTTGTTTAGGACGCAACTATTTTTGAACCGAATGCAATAGAGTGCTGTCTACGTGGACATTTTAGAATGCGTATCAAAGTCAGTAAAAATAGACCTTTAAAATCGTTGCAATTATTTCGCATCTTTTAAAAGAACCAACGATGGTGCATTTGGCAATTTCTTTGATCTTTAAATAAAACTAGGTTCACAATTGAAGCTAGTGGGTAATAAAACGGCCACTTGTCAAACGGATACAGGTATCAAAAGTGGTAGACGCCTTTTCTCTCCTCATTGCCAGCCGTCTGGTAATGCAGTTTAGTAGTTTTAGGAATGCGGGGTAGTAGCAAAATATGTATACTGTCTTTGGTATCGACGTATCACCGTATGACTTCTTACTGAGTCTACGTGCTTGCTCACTGTGACTCTTGCTCGTTCGTCTCTCGGGTATTCACTAGCAGTAGTATATGTATACCCTGGGTGAGTCCATTTGTGTAAAAAGGGGAGAACCCCTTAACACTAACCATTGCACGAAGTCGAAGCGACTAAAATCATTTTCTAAGCCGAGTTAGATGTAGCACAAGGCTGAAAGTGTTGAGTACCCAGTGAGGACCGATCTAACTGATAATTTATCTAACGGACAAGAATAAAATCATTACACCATATGCAAATGCCCTTGATTTACAAAGCGTATTTTGAATGAGGCACAAGACCTAAAGTTTAGGGCACTACGCAATTAATCTAACCAAGACAAGTTTGCTAACCATTACACCATGTAGAAGTGCCCTGTGATTTCCTAGGGGTAGCATAGGTGTGGCACAAGGCCGAAAGAATGAGACAACCAGTGAAGTTCGAAGTCACTATTCCGTCAGAGCTGATATTGCGAGACAAGCTTGCTAAACATGACACTACGTCGAAGTGTCTAGGGGTTTTATAAGAGTAGATGAGATGTGGCACAAGGCCGAAAGTGTTGTGCCCCCCGCGAGGATCGAACTCACTATTCACTCGTGGCTGTTTTACCGAGAGAAGCTTGCTAAACATTACAGTACGTCAATGTGACTTGGTTTTCCAAGCTCAGCTTAGATGTGGCACAAGGCCGAAAGTATGGAGCACTAAGTGAAAGACAAACACATTATTCAGTGGTAACAGATATAGCGAGGCAAGCTTCCTATCGAGGCGGGACACCTGGGCGTGGTGTAATGGTTAGTAAGCTTCTTTGGCTAGATCATTTACGACTCAAAAGTGAGTTCGATTCTCACTAGGTGCCTTGTGCCACACATCTAAGTTCCGCTTAGAAAATTACTCCTACGTCGAAGTGTCTTAGTTTTCTTTTAAATATGTGAAAATTGATGAGACCGCATATAAATTGGAGCATAAATTATTTTAAAAATTATTTAAAAAATAAATAAAAAAGAAAAAATAATATACAGTGTTGTGGATTCCGGGACGAAATCCAGTCTCAAATGAATGACAAACGCAGGAAAGAAATATAACAAATAAATCTATTGACGTAATAATACAATTAGTAATACGGTTAGTAGATCCAGAAATGCGGTTAGTAGCAATAATAATATATATACAGTCTGGGAAATTCAGTATCGAAGTAGGACTTCCTTCTGAGTCTATGTGCTCGCAACTGTGACTCCTACAAAGCGGTTACCTCACACTCTCACTCTTTCACTGTTCACTGTATCACTCTATCAGTGTATCTCTCCCGGGTGTTCACCGACAGCAGTACAAGTACATACTGGTCGAGTCCACTTGTATGAAAAAAGATGTGGACCCCATAACATACCGTCACCCTCCAAGACGTATGTGATCATTCCTCTCCCCAACTTTCTTGTCGGATTTTCTAATACCATCGATCTACACAAACAGATTAATCGTATTTTTCCTCCTTTCCCTCTAGTCTTCAATATCTCATATGAGTATCAAAATCGCCACGTCTGCTTTCCTCGGTACATGTCACTGAAATTTAAAATCTTTCTGATGACTTTTTTGCTCTCATTTTTCTTAAACATCTGTTGCATACCCTTCATTACACGAGGGTCGGCGTTTGTTGGTCTCCAATCTTTTTTCTTGTTCGATATCGCGGAATCTTTGCGTTCAGAGACGAAATGTCTTACTATGTTCAAAGTTTCAAGTTCAATTTACAACCAATCAAAGTCATTTTGAGACTAAGCAAGTTCATAATGAAATAGCCAAATTCAAAATGGATTAGACAAATTCAATTTGGGAATAAGCAATTGTTTTGCTAAAAAGACTTTAAATATTTTAATGATAAAATAATAATGTTAAAAAGACTTTAAATATTTTCATGATAAAATAATAATGTTCAACTAAAATTTACTATTGAAATGTTTTATCTTCTAGGAGCAATCAAGTAAGTTCATGAAAGGTGTGTCTTTTGGATGTCAACATTCAGCGCTTAAAATCTCTCATTATACCTATCTTTTTTTCAAATACTGTTTTGATATATGCATTCAGTATTGCTGCTTTTTCTTAGACCTTTCGAGATTTGCCCTGTTGACTTACAAATCATTTCATTTTGAATGACTCTCTCTTATTCTCTCTTTTTAAAAACTATATACAGTCTATCCATTCCTTTCTTTCTTTCTTTTGATTGGCTTACCAATGAAAGTGCCAGAAACTCTAATATTGACACAAATTTATCCGTTCAAAAATAGCCTCTTTGCAAGGAATTCATAGTAAGATCTACGCAACGCTGCGCTCCGATTTTTAATTATCTGATTTACCGCTCAGTTGATTTTTTAATCCATGATATTAGTTTATTGAAATGCGCAGGTAATTTCGATATATTTTTCAATAATGATTCTGCTTAGTCCCAATTCAAACTTACTTATGAATTTGCTTCGTTCCAAATCAAACTTGCGTATTTTTATTTTGAATTTGCTGCGTCCCATTCTGAACTTGGCTATTTCATTTTGAATTTGTTACGTCCCATTCTGAACTTGGCTATTTCATTTTGAATTTGTTACGTCCCATTCTGAACTTGGCTATTTCATTTTGAATTTGTTACGTCCCATTCTGAACTTGGCTTTTTCATTTTGAATTTGCTACGCCCCAGCAATTCATTTTTGGTAAAAAGAAAGATTACCAGTAATAAAAAGTTTGTCGGCATTAAATAACCCATTGAGGTGTTGATGTACCGTAAAAAAAAACATGGTAAACCTGATATCCTGTGTTCATAGTGGCAAATCATCCACATTCCGGCCATGCTGCTTTGAAACCTAACCAGGTGATAGTCCAAGGCATAATATTGTGTCCTTTAGAGATCCGATTACAAAAACTGACAGAACACCTTTTCCGTGTTAAGAGGGCATTGCTACATATGTAAAAAGAAGAGTCTCGACACCGAAAATAGAATGACAATTATATATATATATATATATATATATATATATATATATATATATATATATATTTGTTGAAATACATGAATGTGTAACTGCGCCTAAAAACTGATTATTTATATATAAGTGTATTTGTAATAAGGTAAGGCATAACATTATAATAAACTAATATCCATCCAACTGAATACATACATACATATATATATATATATATATATATATATATATATATATATATATATATATATATATATATTACTCGCTTGTTTTTTTTTTTGGAATTGGGCGATTTGTTTTCCATTAAAAATTCAGATATTTGTCGGTATTTCATTTTTTTCCTCGGATACCAACGTCCGAGTTTTTTTTTATCATATTCTTATATATATATATATATATATATATATATATATATATATATATATATATATGTGTGTGTGTGTGTGTGTGAAAAGTGAATATAAATAAAATAAATATATATATATGTATAATTATTTATATATTATATATATATTTGCAATCGATTATTAGAAAGCGCTCAATATCAGAGATAGAGCTAACATATTTGGTTGGATAGATGTGAGTTTGTGACCCTGGGTTTCACGCTTTTGCGATCGTCAGACAAACTGATTAATGTTTTAAAAATTTGGGTTTATGTAGATTGCGTGTATTGGTGTTATTGTGGAAGTGGTGGGGAAATTTCGTCGTTTTGTCATTCATCGTACTAACGCAAACATCGATGTATGCAGACACATATATATACTTGGTCGTCCGTCGGGACTCATACATATATAAAAACATATGTAGACAGTTTCGGCTATGACACATGTATGTATACGGGTGGTGTTATGTCTATACATACGCATTTGTATGTTGAAATGTTGAAATTTAAACATTGGAAGTGTGGCGGAAATGTCTCGTTATTGTCTCGTGAATGTATCCATGTCATTATGAAATTTTTTTTTTTTTTTTTTTGAAAAATATTTTCCTCGCATGTATGTATATACGTGTGGTGGGGTTTGTGTAAAAAAATTATGATAGGTAAAAATTATTATTATTTATTATTTATATATTTTATTTTTAAATTTTTGAAAAAAATTTTATTTGTTATATTTAAAGCTGGTTATTTGTTTTTTTTTTGGTGACTGTGTATATGTAACAGGTAAAAAATTGTAATCCTTATTGTTTTTTATATGGTGATTTATATTTAATATTATGGGTGTTTAATTTAATAACGGGTTTATATGATATGATGTGATAGTAATGTTTCAAAGGATTGGAGACAATGCTATTTAGGTTTTTAGCTAATAGTTATTGTAAACTGGAAGAAATTGCAGATTGGTAGAAATGATTAGTAACGGTGGTGGGAGAATGATAAAACCATGAATGTAGTTATATGTGGTGGTAGCTTGAACTAAAAAAAAAAGAAATTGTTGGTGTTTTATTTTTTATTTTTTTTATTATATATATTAATTTATTTTGGTATAAATCCTGATAATATATATATATATATATATATATATATATATATATATATATATAAAAGAAAGAACAGTTAAGATAAAAACATCCGGTGTTATTTTATTTTTAAAAAATAGTTATTTTTTGTAAATTTACAGAGCATTAATAATATCATAAAAAATTGATTTAAAATATGGTTTTTTTTACACAGTTCCAACCATGTTTCAAAAAATAGAAGCTTTCAAATGTCTAATTTTATTTTTCAAAAAAAAATTAAAAGCATTAGTTCCATTTCATCTTCAATTTTTTGGAGTAACTTTTAAAAAATTACCGGGTTTTTAAAAAACACAGATAAAATCACGTTTCCATGGTTAAGAATATTCTACTTCAATTGAACAAGGGGTGTCTAAAATTTTTGCTTATGTCAGTTTATCATTGTATCAGTTATTAGGACTATAATTTTGTAAACGGGGTTTATATGTATTTTACAATGAAAACCTAATATCAGTTGAATGGATGTCGTCTGGATTTAAAAAAAAAAAATTGTTAACGGTAAAAAAAAAAAATTTTTTACGTTTTTTTTTTTAAATTTTTTAATTTTTTTTTTTTTTTTTTTTTTTTGTAATACATTTTTTTTAACTACGATTTGAAATATTCACCTTTTTAATTTTTATTTTTACTATATTTTTTTAAGAACAGTTAAATGTATTAGAATCCATTATATTATGTAGGATTATTTTAACATCAAGTTTAAGTATGTATATATTTACATTTTTTTTTTTTTATATATATTTGACTATGACGGCAAAAATGGTAAAAATTTCACTGATTTAGTAAACCGTTTATTTATTTTATATATAAACCTAGTAATATAATGTTTCTCATGTAAGTAAAAAGGACATGGGTCATTCAAAAGCTTACATCTTATGGCATTTCATATTAATTTTATTTTACTATAGGTTTTTTTTTTTATTCTTTTTAGTGCGTGTATTATTATTTAAAATGAAATTTAGGTTAGAATTCATTCAATTTAACTACAATTTTAATTACAATTTCAAAATTACAAAATTTAAAATTTTAAAATATTTTTAATTGTTAGTTTTAATAGACTATATTACTTTTTAACAGAAGGAAAATTACTTTAGTAAGTAAAATTATTTTTCAATATCAAAGTATATGTAAATTACAATTTTTTTTTTTTATAAATTTAAATTTAAATTAATTTAATATTAAAATGGCACTACTTACTACAAAACTAGCTAAGTCATTTCTCAGATTTAGTAAACTTTATTTATTAATTAATTAATTTATTTATTTTAAATATATGTAACCTAAGTAATAAAGTTTCATATGTATGTATAAAGAACAGGTTAGAATTCATTTTATTTAACTACAATTTTAATTACAATTTTTAAATTACAACTTTTTAAAAATTTTAAAATTTTTCATTGTTAGTTTTAATAGACTATATTAATTTTATAACAGAAGGATAATTATTCATAGTAAGTAAAATTATTTTTCCATATCAAAAATTATATGTAAATTATTAATTTTAAATATTATATTTAAATATTATTTAAGTAATATAAATGGCATAGATATATACTACAAAACTATCTAAGTCATTTCTCAGATTTAGTAAACTTTATGTATTAATTAATTAATTTATTTATTTTATATATATATAAATGAGTAATAAAGTTTCATATGTATTTTTTTACTAACAATGGGTCATACATTATAAATACATCATCTAGCTTTTTTATAATTTCATTTTTCAGTAGGTGTTTTATTGGATTCATTCAAGTGTTTGTAGTACATTTATTATAGAAAAATTTCGGTTAATAATACATTTTATTTAATTTTAATTTTTTAAAAGATGCTTATGTTTTTAAATATAAATACAAATTTTAAACAATTTTTTAATAAAATTTTTAAATTTTTTTTATCCTTAATTTTTTCAATAGATTTTTTTTTTTTTTATATATTATTTAAGGAAAATTTTTGACAATGACCATAAAATAGCTATTTCATTTCTCTGATTCAGTAAATTTTTATTTTTTATAAACTTAGTAATATATAGTTTCTCTTGTATGCATAGAGGACATGGGTCGTTTAATGATCTACAAATTCTAGCTTTTCTTATTAACTTCCATTTTACTGTAGGTGTTTTATTTGATTCTTTTAGATGCCAAAAATATTTTTGAGAGAGATGTTTTATTTTTTTATATTTATTTATTCTAAATGAAAAATCTAAATTTTGGTTGAATTTTTTTTTTTCTTTTTTATCTGGCTATGCAACCATATATTTTTTGTTATCAGGACTTTTTTTCGAAGAGATATTGCATTGGTATACTAATGATTCAGTGCGAAATTTTATTTTGTAGTAAGCAATTTTGAGAGTTTCTACAATTACATAGTTTTTTGTTTATTTTCATCAGTTTTTTATCTTAATTTTTTTATGTCTAAATAATTTTTTGGTTTTTATATAAATGTTTATTTAAGATATTAGTATTATGGTTCTTAATGATTTTTTTATAAGTTTTTTGTACATATTTTATAACATAATTTTTAGTGTTTTTTTATTGAAAATAGTATTTAGTTTTTTTTTCAAAAGGAAAATGCTTGACTATTAATGCGAGGAATTTATGTCCTAATCTGTTTTTTTTACCATTTTTTATAATGGGGAAAATATTCATAATTTTTCTACATCTGTTTTTTTTTATTATTTTTTTTTCATTTTTTTTTTTTATAAATCTATTCTTTTGGGTTTTTGTAGCCACTCTTTTTTAGAGCCTTATTATAGAA